AAAGAAGACCCCGATTCAGTGGGTGGTGCTGATTCTCTACGTCAAACCGCGCGAGGAACTAACGTCCGGGAGGATCGTGTCCGTAGCTGAGTCCTCCGGTTTCTAAAAGGAAGTATGAGAGAATGTTATTAAGACTTCTGGGAACGGCGGGGCTTCTTAAGATACAAAAAGTGGAAACAGTAACAGAGAATTTGATACGTGTGATTAAATTAACATTTTGAAACTTCTGTTTCGCCCATAACTATACGAAACGAAAGGACAGCCCACCACAGAGAGAGAATGTTTGCAAAATAAACAACGGAGCAAAAGATTAGTACCCAGAGTATTTGAAGAATTCCTACAGATCGCTAAGAAAAACAAATCTGGTACTGAAATTGGCAAAAGCAGTTCCCCAAAGAGGAAACACGGATGGCTAATAACCACGTGGAAAATGTCCCGCATCACGGCAGTGACGCGGCTGCGAATTCGAGCGAGGTAAACGTGGAAACTTTCTACCCACCGGACTGGGGGGAAAGCACTTTTAGATAAATGAGTCTCTCGCTAGTAATCGGGAAGATGAAAATTAAAACAACAATGGGACAGCATTTTTACATCCCCCAGATTGCCAAAGTGTTTAAGTCTAACGACAAGAGGCTCGCTTCCAGGAACGGTGACCAGACCACGCATCCCACAGACGGCAGCGATGAAGTCTGGACGAAAGGTACCGCGCATGCTGTTGAAGGTACTGAATGGCGACCGAACGCAGGCAGAAACTGCACGTGGACCCTTTAAAGATAAGGACCGTGCAAAGTGAGATTTGCGCGCTCGCAGATTTTCGCCTGACGAAAGCCTGAATCCAGGTTTTATCTATATAAAGCTGCAGTTTTACCGGCTTGAGGTATCAGAAGACAGAGTTCAGGGCTGGGGGGAAAAGTGTCTAAAGGGTTAGAAGAGAAAACCTAAAAAGGACAGAGCTGGGGAGGAGGCGAACCCCAAAATCCACTCCGATCCACTTAGAGTCTCAGCTGACCAGCAAACTACGCACGGGAGGGGCTGCATGGCCTGAAAAAGCCACCACTGGAAGTTGCGAGAACTTATTGGAGATTTCAGCTGCTGCCCGCCAAAGAGACAGACCACGGAGTTTGATTCTATGTAATTTAACTGCCTCCTAAAACAAAAGTCCAGCATAACTGAACCCAGAGCCTCTACAAAGCATCAACCAGATGTCTAGCGTGCAATAAAAAAGTGACTAGACATACAAAGAAACAGGAAAAGAAACATACAAACACAGTCAGGAGAATAAAAAAGGTCCATAGAAACTGAGCTCTAGGTGATCCAGGTGCCGAAATTACCATACTAAGGACTGTCAGGGAACTACTAGAAATATACTTGAGACTAAAGGACAATGTGGCTGTAATGAATGAACAGATGTGGACTCTCAGCAGGTAAATGGAAACTCTTTTTGAAAGATGAAAATTGTAGAATTGAAAAGCACAATATCTGAAATGAAAAATTCATATTAGAGACCAAAAACAGCATATCGGAGACAGCAGGCCCCTCCGCCTGCACCTGCCGTGACTCCCAGGATCTGTGAACTACTGCACACGTCAGGGACAGAGTTGTTTCGTCAGGAGTTAGTAACCGATAGGAAAAGGTCGAAGTTGATTTTACTTTGGCCACCAGGACTAACAGGGTGAGCCTGCTGCTGGCTGCTCGATCTCAGGATGCGAGATGCTTGGCTCCAGACTAGGATGAGTCTCAGCCCCACGATGGCGGCAGGGCCTGCTTCCGTGCGGAAGACGGTGCTTTGCCCTCTCCTGCTTCATTGCAAAGGATCATTATTGTCGTGACGATGACGTTAGGTCACAAGAAAAAGCTCTCTGAGAATTTCGAAGGACTGAGGTTCAGTGCCCGGGGTGGAGAGTTGCCAGGGCTCGGAGAACGTCCCTCACCTGTCATATGAGGGGACACCCATGACCTGCAGCTGCCAGCGCTGAGTTGTCTGGGATTCTGTCAATGGCGCTGACTTGCCCGCAGCCCCGCTGGGCATGGAGTGGCTCAGCGCTCTGCCAGAAAGCCCTGGTTTGTTCCCGTTGTTCAGACGTAGAGTGTACCAGTGCTGGAGGTGATGCTCTGACCGACGCGCCCTCCCGGCCCTGGTCCAGGCACTGGACACACGTCGGCCCGCTGAGTCCTTGCAGCCCTGCTAGTGTAGACCGGCCCGCTTAGTCCTTGCAGCCCTGCTAGTGTAGACCGTGTCGCCCATGATGAAAGCAGAAGAGAAGCCGAGGCACCGCGGGACATTTAGTCACAGCCGAGCCCTCGCTCTGCCAGCGGCGCTGGGCACAGCACCCCATTTCCTGGACCTGACGGTGGAGATATCTGTGTCAGAGAGGGGAGCGTTGAGTCCCGGGGTAGCCCAAAGAAGGCAAGAGACACGGGTGCCACCCTGACAGCTGGCCCTCCCAAGGTCACGGGGTCAGACCTGAGCTATGACCTGGCACTGATCCCAGGACAGGAAACTTAATCCCGAAATGTGGGAGGGGGAAGGGGCATCGTAACTCAGGCTGAGCCAGAGCCGGAGCCTGAGCCCGAGCCCGACTGTGACCCCACGCTGGGAGGCGTCCAGGAGAGCTGCCCGCCACCCCCATCGCCCTGGGCCATGTCCTGGGCTCCTGGGAGATGCCCGGAGCGCACATGTTTCAGAGAGTCCAAAGCATCGGACGGTGGGGGCTACAGGTGGCTCCGGGGTGGGACCCGGCCCAACGGCCAGGACCAACAGCTCGGTTTCCTCCCCAGGTGAGCGTCTGGCCGCCCTGCTGGTCACCCGCGCGGCCGCAGCCTTCTTCCTGGACAGCGGGGCCCAGGACCTGCTTCGGGACCTGCACGAGGCCTTCCGCGAGAGCCCCTGGGGCGCGCGAAGGCAATTCGAGGCGGTGCTCTCGGCCGAGGACCGGGCGCGCGTGCGGGCGCAGGCGCAGGAGGCCGCAGACGTGGGTTTCGCC